CGGGGAGAGAGCTGGAGGGGGAGCTTTCTCCCAAACAGATGTTCTCTCTTTGTAATGTCTTTATCTGGGTTTGGAATTATCTGGTTATGGCCTCATAAACTGAGCTTGGAAATCTTCATTTGTCTTATATTTTGTGAATAGTTTGAAGAGGTTAGGTGTTAGTTCTTCTTTGAATGTTTGGTAAAACTCCTGTGTGAAGCCATCCAGACCAGAGCATTTGTTTGCTGGGAGTTTGATTACTACTTCAATTTCATTAGTTGTTATTGATCTGTTCAGGTTTTCTGAATCTTCCTCATTGAGATTTGAAAGACTGCATGTTTCTAGGAATTTGTCCATTTTGCCTGGTTGTCCAATTTGTTGGCATATAGTTTTTCATAGTATTTTCTTACAACACTTTGTGTTTCTGTGGTGTCAGTTGTTAATTCACATCTTTTGTTTCTGATTTAATTTATTTAGGTCCTCTCATTTTGTTTCTTGATGATTCTTGCTAAAGGTTCATCAACCTTGTTTTTCTTTTCAAAGAACCAGCTTTTGATTTTTTGTATTGCTGTTATAATGTCTATGCTATTTATTTCTGCTATAATCTTTATTATTTCTTTCCTCCTATTTACTCTGGGCTTTTCTTATTGCTCTCTTTATAATTCGTTAAGTTGTAAAAGGTAGATAGTTTATTAGTGCTATTTATTGTTTCCCAAGGTAAGCCTGTAGTGCTATAAACTTCCCTCTCAAGACTGCTTTCACTGTGTCCAGTAGATTTTAAGTTGTTGTGTGTTCAGTTTCATTTGTATCCAAAGAGGTTTTTTTTTTTTTTATCTCTTCTTTGATCTCATTGGTAACCCATTCATTGTTTAATCACATGCTATGTAGTCTCCATGTGTTTGAATGTTTTGTAGTGTTTTTATTGCAATTGACTTCTAGTTTCATGCCATTGTATCTGAGAAGGTGCTTGCATGATATGATTTCAATCTTCTTTAACTTATTGAGACTTAGTTTGTCTCTTAACATGTAGTCTACCTTTGAGAATATCCCATGTGCTCTTGAGAAGAATGTACATTCTGTAGCTTTGGGATGTAATGTTCTGTAAATGTCAATTAAATCCATCTTCTCTAGTGTGTAATTTATTGTCGTTGTTTCCTTGTTGATTTTTTTGTCTAGGTGATCTGTCCAGTAATGTCAGTGGGGTGTTAAACTATTGCTTTGTATGATTATATTGCTGTTGATGTCTCTTAAATTTCTCCAGATGTTTTAAAATATATTTGGGTGCACCTATGGTGGGTGCATATATGTTTACCAGGGTTATATTCTCTTGTTGGATTGATCTTTTAGTAGTATGTAGTGACCTTCTTTGTCTCTTGTTGTGACCTTTATTTTAAAGTCTATTTTGTCAGATAAAAGTATGGCTATCTTAGTTTTGTTTTGTTTTTTATTTCCATTTGCATGGAATTTTTTTTTCCCCATTCTTTCACTTTCATCATGTATGAGTCTTCTGTTCTGATGTGGGTCTTTTGTAGACAGCACATATATGGGTTATGTTTTCATATCATATCCATTCAGCTACCTATGTCTTTTGATGGGAGCATTTAATTCATTTAGATTGAAGGTTATTATTGATAGGTACTTATATGGCCATTTCTATTCATTATGCCTATGTCTCTCTTTATTTCTTCTTCTGACTACAGCAGTCCCTTTAACATTTCTTGCAATGCTGGTTTGGTGGCAATAAATTTCTTTAGCTTTTTTCCCCCCTTTAGTCTAGGAAGCTCTTTATTTCACCTTCTCTTTTGAATGAAAGCCTTTCTCTCTTGGTTTCAGATCCTTGCTTTTCATTACCTTGCCATTCCCTTCTGGCCTATAGTGTTTTTGTTGAAAAATCTTCTGACAGCCTTATGAGAGCTCCTTTGTAGGTAACACATTGCTTTTCTCTTGCTGCCTTTAAGATTCTCTTGTCTTTAATTTTTTGCATTTTAAGGAAGTTTTTAGCCATTATTTCTTCAAACAGATTCTCTATTCCTTGCTCATTTTTTTTTTTTCTTCTGGTATTCCTGTCATGTGGAATTTGTTACATTTGATGTTGTCCCACAGTTCCTATAAACTGTCCTCTGTTTATTAAAATTGTTTTTTTGTTGTTGTTGTTTTTGGTACTCTAATTGAGTGATGTTTTTTCTGCTCTGTATTCTAATTTGCTGATCTTATTCTCAGCTTCCTCTATCTTCTCTTTATTCCTTCCAGTATATTCTTTATTTCTGCTATGTCACTCTTCATTTCTGACTGGTTGTTTTCATAGTTTCTATATCTTTATTTCATGCTGTTGGGTATCCTTATAATCATTACTCTAAATTCTATATCTGATAAACTGCTTGTCTTCATTTTATTTAGCTCTTTTTATGGAGATTTCTCTTGTTTTTTTTCATGTGGGGTTTGTTTATTTGTCTCCCTATTTTGGCTGCCTTTGTGGATTTTTTCTTTGTATTGGGTAGATCTGCTATGACTCCCAGTCATGATAGGGTGGCCTTATGTAGTAGGTTACTCGTAGGACCCAGTGGCACAGTCTCCTTAATCACTAGACCTAGGTGCTCTAATAATATCTCTTGTGTGCTTGGTGTGGGCCTCCTGTTGTATTTGTGTCTTGATTACTATTGGCTCATCTGTCCCTGGTATTTGCCCTTAGGCTGGCTGACAGTGAGGCTCAACCCCCAACACAGTGTGCAGGCTGCTGTGCAGGTGCTTATCACATGAAGCACAATTTGCCTTAGCAGAGTTTGGAGACTGCCAATATCTCCCTGTGACTATACTGCTTGTGAAACTTATTGGATTATGCTCTGTTGATGACTGAAGCTGGCCATTGGATTTATTGATTTTAGGTCTTTTGGAGGGTCTGTGGTGCAGGCCAGTGTCAGACGTTGTTTGTGACTGGCTTTGATTATTCTGGAGCTGTCAGCAATCTGCAGCTTGTGGTTCCCTCTGCTGGGGCTAAGTGTGTATGGAAAAACACCAAGGTCTGCTTTTATTAGCCCCAGGCAGAGGAGCAGGTCAGGCAAGGACTCAAATCATCCAGAGATCTGCCTCTGCCTGTAGGTTTACTGTTAGTCTTAGTCACTTAATGAGCCTCAAGTTGTAGTCCTCAACATGTTGTAAACTCCACAGGGTGGGGTGACAAAATTTCCAATGGGGGGGAGCAATTGCTAAGCCACAAACTGTGGCTAAAGCTGCATCGATGAGAAAAGTCTGCCTGAGAAAGATGGCTTCTGCAGTGTGGGGAAATAATTTAGCACAGAGATCCTGGTGGCTGCCTTCCCAGCTCTCTCCTCAGCACCACCAACTCCAGACTCTCCTCACACATCTCTAGTCCACTCTGCCCTGCCTCTGCCAGAGCCCAAGGTGAGTGGCTGCAAATGAAATTTAGTGCATTGCTCCTTTAAGAAGGTGTCTGTGTTCCTAGCCATCTCTCCTTGCTGGACAGAACACCCAGTGCTTTTCAGAGCCAGATGTTATGTGGGCACCTTTCCCAGTTCCATTACTCTGGGCTGGGGAGCCAAGCTTGTGGTTTAAACCCAAGACTTCTCAAGGGGAACCCCCACAGCTGAGATTTTTCTCCAGCACAAAGTTGCTGCCTATGGGAGCCCAGCCAGCCCTCTTCATGCCTCCACATTTCCTGCCAGTCTTAATGTGGGCTCTTCTTTATGTTCTTGGTTATAATGGTTCTCTCCTGCTAGTTTTCAGTTGGTTATTCAGGATGATTTTTTTTTTTTTTTTTTTTGTATTTTAGTTTCAATTCCAGGTTTGTCCTTGGAGAAGGTCAGTGCAACTTCCACTTAATCTGCCACCATCTTGGAAATCCCTCTAATTCATCACATTTTTACCTATGGCTTGTTTACCTATGGTTTAGTGTTTTGTTGAAGTAGTTAGTCTTTCCTCACATTTAAGTCACAAAAATTCTCTTATACTTTCTTTTTTCTCTTTATATGTATAGTTCTTTAATCCATCTGAATTTTGCTGTTACATGTGATATTAAATGATAATCCAGTGATTTTTCTCCATATAGATAGTCGATTTTTTCAATGCCATTTACTACATCATCTTTGATTTCCCCATTTATGTGGGTGTCACCTTTAGTGCATACTTGGTTCCCATGTTTAGATGGGTCTGTCTATTGGCCACCTATTATGTCATTGTTTCTACTACTATTGCTTTGACAGTACTTCAAAGTACAAGCTCTCCTTTTGCACTTCCTTTTTAAAGTTAATGAACCCTTTTAAAATATAAATTTTAGAATAAATTTATGAAGTTCTTTTAAAAAATCCAAAAGTACTTTTGCATAGGATTGCTTTGAATTTAAATTTAGGAAGAATCAGCATCTTTATAAAATTAAGGAATTCTATGCAAGAGCTATATGTTTATAAAGTTCTATTGGTTATTTTCATGCAAAACTAGGGTTGAAAAGCCCTGCTGTAAATTTATGGAGCTCTGAAAATGTCTTCTATTGTTTTTGCTATTTTGTGACTTGGTGATTTTTCTGTTGCAAAACAGAACAAGAGCAAATGGACCGGAAATCTACTTAGAATGGCTCACATTAAGAAAGGAGGCAAGACAGGTTATCGAGAGGACATGTTAGGACAGAAGCCAACTTCTGCTGGGCCTCCTGGGGACTGAGCTTGCCATTCAGAGATTGAGGCATTCTCTCCATCCTCAGGACACCCATGGTGCTTGTATTAGTTCTTTTTGCCTACATGCTCTGTTCTCCTGCCATTCCTAGCACAACTTCAGCCTTCACACAGCTTTGGTATAATAACCCAGCACTGACACCACCCCCTTACTCAATCCTGAATACCCTGGAATATACTGTAGTAGATTCAGGCCAGTCTGGACCTAAACCAGCTGTTATGGTGGGAATGGGGTTATTCAGTGTTACTATGTCCCTCATGTATCTTGAACCTCTCTCAAGGTTCCAGGGTTACTGACTCAGCTCTCTGAGCCTCATTGTCCTCTCTGTTTGTTTTCAGAATGGAGAGCAGCCCAAAAATATGCAGGTAACTGAAACCAAGGAACTGTGATGTGACTTAAGTTGACTGGATCTTAAATAGAGGGAGGTGGAGAGATCTGAGATTAGAGGAAGGGTTTTCTAGAAGCCAGTATGAGCCTGCACACAAAGACACACAAGTCCACTTGCACACATAGAACATGACACACACACCTGCATATGCACATATGCATGCTTGTGTGCATACATGTAATGCATACATTCATGTCCACATACATGTCCCCACATGCATATATCTTTCTTGGTTTTACTGGGTCTTTCCATCTGCAGAAGGCTGTTTGTAGGAGCGAATACATAGTTTGTAAGGAATCTTCAGATATCTGACAGAAGGGATCCTTTGAGTTAACCATCCATCAAATGAGTGTGTTTTGGCAGCTATGGTGCTGGAGTACAGGGCACTAGACTAGATGATCTTAGATCTCCTTCAGTTTTAAAATCCTAAAATTGCTTTAAAACCAAGGCCTAGAGTTCTGTCATGCTCTCTAGTTCACGCTGGTGGTGAGACCAGCAGGAACTAGCACCAGCCTTAGGCTCCTTCCCCTTGACCAAGACTTGAAGGCAGTGAGTCCTCCTCTATTCCCAGGAGCCTTCCTTGTTTGCTAGCTCTCCTCTCCATGGCACCCAGTATAAAATTCAGGAAACGTCTAATTCAGGAAAGAAATAGGATTGATTCCTCTTATCACATTCAAATGCTCCAGGGTGACTTTCACACCACTTCAGTCTCAGGGTATTTTGAGTTGAGGGTGCGAATAAATATTCCACCAATTTCTCAAGAACTAGATGTTGACCTGTCCAGGGGAGGAGAAAGGTAGGGCCCAGAACCATCCTCTCAAGCACTAACCCAGTGCCTTTGCACAGTGGATGTGACTCTGGATTCCGCCTCGGCACACCCCAGTCTGGAGGTCTCCCAGCATGGCAAGAGAGTGTCCTCCCGTGAGGCTCCAGTGGTACTGGGAGACCTACAGGGGTTCCCTGAGCAGACGTGTGTGCTGAGCAATGAGCGCTTCCGTGCTGGCCGCCACTACTGGGAGGTCGACGTGGGCCGGCGCAGCCGCTGGTTCCTGGGCGCCTGTCTGGAGGGGGTGGCACGTGCAGGGCCAGTGCGCCTGAGCCCGGCTACTGGCTACTGGGTGATGGGGCTGTGGAATGGCTGCGAGTACTTTGTCCTGGAGCCACAGCGTGTGGCACTCTCCCTGCGTGTGCCACCCAGGCGCGTGGGCATCTTCCTGGACTACGAAGCAGGAAAGCTGGCCTTTTTCAATGTGTCAGACGGCACCCACATCTTTACCTTCACCGACACTTTCACGGGACCGCTCTGTGCATACTTCAGGCCCAGAGCCCCTGATGGTAGTGAACACTCGGATCCTCTCACCATCTGCCCGTTGCCAGTTCGAGGGACACGCATCCCTGAAGAAGATGACGGTGACACCTGGGCACAACCTTATGAGCCCTCGGACTCCGCAGTGGACCTGTGGTGAGGCACTCTCCTGGCCACAAGGCTAGGTCCTACGCAGCTTCCTTGGGAGTGGAGGAAGCATCACCAAAATGCCAGCAAAGGCGACTCAGTACAGCAGAAAAGAAACGGAGAGAGGGACTTGGCGTGTGTAGATGTGTATGTGTGTGTTTGTAATCTTCTTTAAGAAAAAGAGTCAATTCCAAAGCTGTGTGTATTATAGGATTGAGCAAATGAGTAAAAATATATTGATGTTGCCGGGACCCAGGATGCTCACTGTAAAAGAGGAAAGGGATCTGGGAAGGGGAAAGAAGGTATACACGTGATTGGATTAGAGGTGTCAGTTAATTTGCATATTTATATATGTTTTTGTATGTATTTTTTAGTTCGTAAGAAATGAATTCACCTAGAGCTCAAATTCCAGTTGTAAATGTCAATTCCCACTTAAATGAACTTGGGAAATGGCTGATTACAGGGCTGGGACTGAGAAAGCACAAAGTGAATCTGGACTATTTTGTGCCTTAAAGTACAAACATGCTCAAAACCTGATGGGGACACAGCAAAACGACATAGGAGCTAAGATGAGGAGGCTCCATTGACCAATTGTGGGACAATTTGAACATTAAAGAGAATAATGACAAGAATTGCTCAACAAGGAGTTGAGCAAATAAATTTCACCAAATGAGTTGAGAGTCGGGTTTCTCAGAGAAAGAAAATATAAAAAACAGAAAGGGGAAAGGAGAGAGTGAAAGAATGACTCTGTGAGCTCATGGTTTTTACTATGTATAGATAGATGGAACACACAAATGTGATAGATAGGATGAATGGAGGTGTGAGCATACATATTGTTCCTGGCTCTGCTTTGAGGACTTAGAAACAATAGCATCCCGCCCTGGCTAGTTTGGCTCAGCGGTTAGAGCGTCAGCCTGTGGTCCGGAGAGACCCGGGTTTGGTTCCCGCTAAGGGCACGTACTTCGGTTGCAGTTTGTCCCCGGCCCTGGTTGGTCGTGCGGGTGGCAGCCACTCGATGTGTCCCTTCACGTTGATGTTTCTCTCTCTCTCTCCCTTCCTCTCTCTCCCTCCCACTCTATCTGTACAAAAAATGGAAAAATATCCTCGGGTGAAGGATAAAAAAAAAAAAAAGAAAAGAAAGAAACAATAGCATCCCAGTACCAATGAGCACATCTAGCACTCAGAACTTGTTTATTTATATTTTTTGTGTATGTGTGTGTGTATATACTATTTTCCACTAAAAGGAACCAAGGTTCCTTGGAGAAATAATGGACTCTGGGTCGGGGGCAGGGAAAACACAAACAGGTGTGATATTGTAAAAAAAAAATATATATATATATATATATGTGTGTGTGTGTGTATGTGTATATATATATACACACAATATCACACCTGTTTGTGAATATATACACACACACATATATATTCACAATATCACACCTGTTTGTGTTTGTAAATATATATTTACAGTCTTTTACCAAGATTCTGGCACAAAGATCCCAAAACCCTTAGAATTTCTAAGTGATAAGCATAATAAGGGTATCTTTTGATAATTTTAACAAGCCCCTCTCAAATACACCAGAGTTCATGTTAGTTAATGCTATGACTTTTGGAAAGCCCCTGAGGATCTGGTCTGGCTGCTTGGGGAACCAACTAGTCATTAGAGAGATGTAACTTAGCCCCACCCTCATCTCAGCCTCAGGGAGGGATTGTAGATTGAGTTCTATTGCCAGTGGCCAATGATTTAATCAATCTTGCAAATGTAATAAAGCCTCCATAAAAATCCAAAAGGACTGGGTTCCAGAGCTTCCAGGTTGGTGACCACTTGGGGATTCAGGGAAAGTGGCACTAAGAGAATGGAATATCTGTACCCCTTTCCATACACATTGCCCCATTTATGGTTTTTATCTGGCTATTCCTGAGTTACATACTTTTATAATAAACCAAGAATCTAGTAAATAAGCTGTTTTTCCTGAGCTCTGTAACCTGCTCTAGTAAATTCATCAAACCCAAGTAGAGTGTTGTGGGAACCTCTGATTTAATGCCAGTTGGTTAGAAACACAGTTACAACCTGGATTTGCAATTGATGTGTGAAATACAGGGCAGTCTTGTAGGACTGAGCTCTTAACCAATGGGATCTGATTCTATCTCTAGGTAAATAGTGTCAGAATTGAGTTAATAATTTGGTGGGTTTGGAATGGGTCTAAAATATCTTTTACCAGAAGGAAGTGCTCAAAGAATGACAAGAAGATGTCAGTTGTACAGAAAAGTCAGCTTGAAAGTACTCCCATTGACCAAATTTGAATATCAAAGTAGTTAAGGTCAGTTAAAGATTGAGTAAAATAATAACCCAAGAGTTTGTATATCTATACTGACATACATAAATAAATGTATGAATAATTAAATAAATGGGGGGGGGGGAGAGAAAGCTATACCCTACAATTGAGATCTCACAGTATTTCCCCTACAAAATACTAACTGCTTACAGGGGAGGGCAAAAGTCAGTTTACAGTTGTTTGTATAGTAAAGGCAATAATTAATAAACAATAACACAAGAATAAACTCTGTTTCATGTATTCACAACTGTAAACCAACTTTTGCTCATCCCTGAATTAATTTAGAAGTACAAAACACTTATCAATCAACTTTATAGTGAAGGAAGCTGGCAGACACCATCTTAACCAAGTGACAAAAGTTAACATTACAAGGTATGACAAATTTATACCACATACCTCCTGATACAATGCAGTGAAAAGAACATAACAGCATCACTTTTAACATATTCCTGCCCTCAAAATCCACAAATCATGAGGAAATATCAGTCAAACTGGCTGAGACTTTAAAAATGTCAAGGTCATGAAAGCCAAGACAATACTAAGGAATTGTTTCAGATTGAAGGAGAGTAAAGCGACAATGACAATGAAACACCATAGGTGACCCTGGATAGGGTCCTGTGTCTATATAAGATATCATTTGGAGGAAAAGAAACTTTTGAAAAATGGCCACAGGTCACATAGTGATATTGGATAAATGTTAGTTTCCTGATTTTGATGTAAAATAAATGTTCTTATTTTAAGAAAACAGACACTTAAGTACTAAGGGGCAATAAGACATGTGTGTACGTTATTTTCAAATGGATCATTAAAGAATATAGTAATATAGAAAGAGAATGATAAATAAATGCAGTGATATCTGATAAATGTTTAATACCTAGCTTTCTGGGAAAATATCTGTAACAATTGTTGATTTCCATGTTGTAAATACTCCCATGGTGGCTGATTTCAAGCTGCAAGTGTGACATCACTGATCGAGTTGGGAAGAGATATGCATGCTGGGTTCTTGTGAGACCTCAGGTCCCGCACACCATTGTTTTACTCAATTCTACACAGAGCATTTGGCCATCTATGATGATTTGTTTCTATAACAAATCAAATGAGTACATTTGGAGCTTATAAAAATATGCTCAGTCATCTGCTATGATACAATTTTAGCTTTATTAACATGCCACTTATAATATTCAGAAAGGAAGTTTTATTTTCTATAAACATTAGTATGCAAATATTTGGGAGTCCTACTCAACAAATGTGTTTATATCATTAAAAATATGTCCCTTGCCCTGCCAGTTTGGCTCAGCGGTTAGAGTGTCGGCCTGCAGTCCAGAGAGACCGGGGTTCGGTTCCCACTGGGGGCATGTACCTCGGTTGCAGTTTGTCCCCGGCCCTGGTTGGGTCGTGCGGGTGGCAACCACTCGATGTGTCACTTTCACATTGATGTTTCTCTCTCTCTCTCTCTCCCTCCAACTCTAGCTGAACAACAACAACAAAAAAATGGAAAAATGTTCTCGGATGAGTGTTAAAAAAAATATATGTTCCTTGACTATATGCAACTATTATCTATTCCCTTAATATCATTGTTATGTATTAAATAGGAAAAGCAAGCATATAGCTGATACAAAAGGCAACATTAAATTACTTTAAAATAACCAATTGTTCCATCAGTGCATTTTAAATATTAGGAAGCCCAACCTTAAGGTTAGATGGGATCTTAATATGTCAGGGTAGTAAGAAGCGAGAAAATTTCCTGGGTAAGTGGAATGGAAAAACAGAAGAAAATTAAGGCCAAACAGTTTGGGCAGCTTGCAACCAGCTTGTGAAAGCAAGACTTTTATCTTCCTCAACCAAGAATACTTGAGAGCAAATGGTTTATACCTCTTCTCCTTAACCAGAGATTACATAGCTTAAATCACCCTGGCCTGGGAAAATAGAAAACAAAGACACAATTAATGTCATTTGTGCCAGCTAAACCCAAGGACAGATACCAGTTGCGGGGTGTTAGGCAGAAGATAGCTGCTAGAGCATGAGGAGGTTAAGGGGAGAATAAAGGGAGTTTATCTCATCCACTAAACAAAGAAGTCAGCCATCTTAGGACCTGCCAAACAAGATGACCAGATGTATGTACAATCATTCCAAGACAAGCCACAACAATGTAGAAGGAATCTAAAACCTAGTCTTCTACCCAAGATTTCCAGCAGGGGAGCTTTGAAACCCCGTGGTGTAAGGATATAAAATCCCTTGAACTCCAACCAGGTGCAAGCTCAGACTGAGTTGCCCACTTGTACTTTTTGCTAAGTGTATTCTTAATAAATTTGCTTGCTTTGCTTCAACACTTCTGTCTCTTGTCTGAAATCTTTCTTGCAAAATTGACAAGAGCTGAGGAGGGAACAGCACCCAAGCCTCTAACTCAGGTTGCTGATTGGTACATTAACATTTTACTACTGCCCTGGCTGGTTTGGCCTAGCGGTTAGAGCATTGGCCCATGGACCAGAGAAGCCTGGGTTCAGTTCCCGCTAGGAGCACGTACCTTGTCTCCGGCCCTGGTTGGGGTCATGTGGGTGGCAACCACACGATGTGTCTCTCTCACATCGATATTATCTGAAGATAAATCCAAAACAAACAAAAAAAAATGTCTTCAAGTGAGGATAAAAAAAAAACAAAACATTCTACTACTTATTTTGTACGTCATAAAGGCTGTGCTGGAGGCCACCCGGGAGGCTGGACCATTACAAATAGTCACTTGTCTCTTTCCAGCTCTGCCCCATGACCCTCTGACAAGTTAAAAAAAAAAAAAAAAAACAGTACATGATATATTTAGTTTTTCCCACTGTTCACATTTTCCATGCAGCTATCTCTCAGAACTGTGACAAGTGAGCTCAGCACTTAGGTATGGATCCCAATCCAGTGTACAAACACACTTTCGGTATGTCTGGTTGTGAGGCTTCTGCTTGAGGTAGCCTGGGGACAACTAAAGCACAAAGGCTATCAGAGCTGAGAGAGGACCTTAACCTTGAGGAGGTGACAAATCAAGTTACCGTTGCCCCCACAGGAATCTTACATGGAAGACAAAGATCCATATGGAGCAGGCATTCTCACACATTGTAGATGGGCTTATAAATTGGTCCAGCCATTTTGAGGTAAATTTTGGTAATGTCTACCAGTTTCTAAATATGAATGTCCTCTGACCCAACAGTTCCACATCCAGGAATCTGTCTTTCAGGTGTTCACATGAGCACCTGAAGATACAGAGGATGTTCGCTGCATCAGTGTGAAAGCAGAGGTTGGAAATTAACTACTTGCCACTAGGAGAACAAATAAATAAAATAAGGTCTGTTCATAGTATGGGGTACTATGTCACCATCAATTTTTATGGTGTACATCAATTTTTACAGGGTGTATGAATTGCTCTTGTAGTTAAAAAAGTGAGTCAATGCTGCTTTACTTTTTGCCTCATGTCAATGGGAAAAAATAACAAGAAAATCCTTTTAAAATATACAGTAAAAATCATCTGACTGAACCATCTTAATACTCAAGGGTAGTGATATGATATGTTTTTATTTTTTA